TAAAGGGAGGCAAGCCTTAGCGTTGAATTGCTACTTGACAGCCAGCTTTTGGCAGCCCTAAATTATCCCATGACAAGCAGCAGCGAGGAGGTGAGCAACCTTGCGCATAATCTACAATCATTATCATTTCCATCTTTATTACCCACAGTGTGCCGAGCACATTACGGAACCTTTAAGGGAGCTTTTGTTTTGCAATAATTCCTTAAGAAACCTACTTTCTTGTTAGTATCTCCCCTGCCAGCTCATCAAAATGGAAATGCTGCTCGAGGCCCCATTTATTTTCTTTAATTCGCCTTCCCACTTTTAACCAGAGCAGCTGGACTTGGTGGCAAATCTCATCTCTGGTCCCTGGTGCTGGAAGCTTTAAATTGCATGGCGGGGTCTGGGTTCATCTGCACGCTCTGGTGCCCTGGCAGGTGCCATCTCCCCAGGAGGTATGTTTAACCACATGCATCAGAGAAAAGGATCTCCGTTTAAAAGCTCATGGCAGGTTTCCAAAGAACTGCAGGGAGCTCTCGCAGTGTAACAGGTTCTAATGTCCGAGCCTTCAAGGAGCCACTACTGAGCACAAGGTGCCACTGTGACTCCCTGCACAAGTGCTACCCCACCACGACAGCTGGGGCGGAGGCAGACAGGAGGGCACGTTCTGGCACTTCCCTGAGAGCAGGCTCTGGATCAAGGGAGATTCCTCCGCCAGCCCACTCTGGTGCAGCAATCCCCCACCAGCAACCCCCAGAAAGTGCCTGCAGAAGCCTCTGCCGTGCAGGGGTGGACCTAGCACATCATGGCATGTGCAACATCTTCAGAAGAGCACACGGCACTGGGAGAGCAGAGGACAGAGAGGGGAGTGGAGCAGGTGGACCCTGCGGTAAGAATCAGTGAGTGTGACAGCAATGTGATGGAGGAGCAGGAATGAATCTATTACCTACCCCACCCTGCTTACCACCTCCAGCTCACCACCCTGGGAAGGGCCTTGAGATACTATCGGGTACAAGAAGCACCAAGAAAAGACCAAGCCTGATTAAGCTTTCCACTCCTGCAAGAGGGAATCCAAGCTGGCAGCCAGGAGGGAAGAAAGTGAGGTGGGGAAGGGCTCATCGGTCACAGATTTCAGAGGGACAACAGCGTAGAGGTTCATTGCCACAGACCACAAGCTGGGGCAGGGAGCATTAGTGGTGGTAACTTTGAGACTGGACTTCTTTTCTGGCTGGGAGAGGGAATTTGGTCATCTCCATTGACAGATATTTTCTTTATCAAATTCAGGACGCTCATTCTCACTTCATTACAAAGGAGGTTTCTTTAGAGCTAACTTTATGATGAGAAAGTTGATACCATCAATAGAGAAATACAGAGATGCCATAGACAAATAGATACTATGCAGAAACCATCCATAGAAGCTGTAGACAGACGTCCAGATAGACAGACACCATCATAGACAGAAACCTTAGACACACAGATACTATATTACACGTACACACACCAATAGGTAGATAGATAGACAGACATATAGATAGATACCGTAGATAGACAGTGAGACACCTAGAATAGCCAGACAGATGCCATTGATAGACGCCATACAGACACCACCAATAGATTCTGCAGACAGACAGACAGGCACCTAGATAGCTAGACAGACAGATAATTACAATCTCAATCTCAATTTTCATTTTCGATAGCATTTCTCACCCACACTGCTGACACAGTGACACTGCTAGAGGATAATAGGCACCCAAAGTCATAGACACAGCTATTGAAAAAGTGACACTCCACTACGGAGAAGAATTCTAGGTTTTGAGTATCACGAAGGGTATAGCGAATGCTGATCAGTGCCTCCTTTTAGATATCCCTCCCACCACACATAGTACTGCTCAATGATGTTAATAACCATTGGTTATTGCAGTATATCATAGTGCTGGAGTTAAAGATGAGCAACCAGGCTTAGATTGTCTCCCCAAGATGAACGGAGCAGAATATCGGAAGCAACGATATTGTTCGTTAACCATGCTCCTTTAAGAATATGATTCCCAACACTGGTCTGTCTGTATTACAGATGAAGATCCGGCCCAACTTGCTTCTATCTACACTGACTGCATAGTCACCTTTAACATCATATTGGTCAGCAGGACTCCTTGGGGTCATGGCCTGACACTACCTAATTTGCTACTGAAGACAAGGCCCAGGAGTGATGGTGCCTGGAGCAAGAGGGTTACGTTTTCCGCTCGCCCTGTTCTCGGCTACAAGATGAGCTCTCTCCCCCACCACAGCCAAGTGGAGGAATGTGTCACAGGAGCTTGTGTTGCCAAAACACGCAGGTGTTAATTAAAATCACAGCAACCTAGTAATCAGTGAGAAGCGGCAGAGTCAAGGGGCTGTTTTTCTCTTCTTCTTTGTCTCTCTCCCCAGAACTCTTGGGCTGGTAATGCCGAGAGTGTCACTGTTACGCAACTTCTCCATTTTTCAGTGAGTTTACTGCTGTGCAAAGGCACCCGACTGGCAACTCGGAAGACCTCTGTTTATACACAGTGTGTGGGCGGTGGCATGGCAAGCTTCCCGGGCACACACTGTGCCTTGAAACTATCCAGGGGGGTGCTTATTGCTTGGAAGTTGGGGTGGGGAGAGGGGAGGAGAGAGGATGAATGGAAGCAGAACAGGACAAGGCAGAGAGGAGGTAGATCCAGGTTCTGCTCCCAGCCATGCCACTGTCTCCTGGCATGACCTCGGTCAAGTCGCTTAGGGTATGGCTCTGCTTCCAGCTGGAGACGTCAATCCCAGCCTGAGGAGACGCGCTAGCTCCGATCGAGCTAGCCTGCTAAAAATAGAGGGGTAGCCACGGTGGGGTGAGCAGCAGGAGGGGCTAGCCACCCCAAGTGGGGTATCATCCAAGAGGCTAGCATGTATTTGGGGTAGCTCACCCCTCCTGCTCCTGTTTCTAGGACAGCAGCTCCCTCAGAGCGAGCGCGGGTGTGTCTCCTCAAGACGGAAGGGACACCTCCAGCTCCCGGTGTAGATGCACCCTAAATCTCTCGCTGCTTCAGTTCCCCATCTGTACAACCAGGAGAACGGTCCTTCTTTGGTCTGTCTTGTCCATTTAGCTTGTCAGCTTTCACGGAGAGACAGTCCCTGCCCTGGGGGTATGTACAGCACCTGGCACAATGGGGCTAGGCACCCCCAGAACACAAACAAGTCACTCCAGTTAGAGAGCAGGGAAGAGGAGCTAAGGGTCTCATTCTCATCTCCCGTTTGAAGAGAGTAAGGGGAGACCAGGGTCTGTGGGCCCATCCATTCCTTGACCTGTCTGTTGAGGCTGCCAGTCACAAGGGTGGCTACCTGAATGTGGAAACTTGGCCTTTAGACGCTGGGTTGAGACCTGACTTCTGGGTGGCTATTTGCCCTTGTGCCGGAGGGTTACGAGATCCTTTGGGCATGGGAGGTGGCATGTTTCCAATGCCCCATGCTTGGTGTTAGGAGGACATAGCTCACCTCCGGGCTGAGCTTAAGCACAGAAATACCAGCCAAACACGATGGTGTTTACCTACCGCAGGCTGGGAATCTCCCCAGGATTCCCAGCAGAACCACCAGCCATTAGCTGTGTTTCCAGAAACGAGGTTACTCTCGGGCTCAGGCAATGGTGGGCAGCCAGAACACGTGTAGCAGCAGGACACCTGGCCCCCTTACAGCTTCTGCTCAGAGACTCAGCATCCTGACAATGGCAGCAGTCAGGACCAGTGGCACATCCCATTTCTCAGCACCAGGGACGTTAACAACAGTCAGGGAGATGCTGAGTCACCCTTACCCCCCCCCCCAAGAGGCACACTCGGGAGCTGAGGGTGCTCAGCGCCACGCAGGATCTGGCCTTTAATCTGTAGTTTAAGCAGGAGTGGAGGGAGGACGAGTGAAGTAACTGTGTAAGCCACTAGCAAGTGTCTCCCTTGGTGCCCAATCCTCAGAGGCTAGGAGTTTGCTACAGCCCCAGGGAGGGAGCTTTAGCTCAAGCTGTAGCAGCTCGTCCTTTTAGCTCTGGAGGTCCCCAGCTCAATTCCAAGTGTGTTGGCCAAGATGGCGGGCATCACACGTGTGGGGGCTCATCCAGCCGGAGAGGGGGACCTATAACACACGTTCACCGGTGGGTTATATAATCAGACAAGCACCAAGCAATAGGAGGTGCTGTTTGTCCATCCAGAGGGCATATACAGGGTGTGTGGGGGGGGGCCTTTGCTTCTGGCTTTGGTCAGTGTTAGGGCTATGGGGTATATTAAGGGCACTGCCAATAACTATGGGGGTGAGGGCCCAGCCATGAACCGTCGGGGAGATCTCCCACCCATGCCCACTTGGTCTGCACATGCAGGAATGGTGCCAATAGCAGCCAGACTCCAGATGTGCTGCGATGCTCAGACTGGGGAGAGGGTTGTGATACCCATCAACCGTGGGAGCAGGAATCTTCAGGTGCCAGGGAGAACCGTGCACGGCTATCTCACTCGCCCAGGCTCTGCCTCTGCCAGACTCCCTCCATCCTGGGCCACAGTCCTGTGTGTGACAACTTCAGCCAGCACAGCCCAGTAGGACCCACACTGCCTGCCTTTCAACACAGCCTCGTCTGACAGGGAGGAGATGGGGAGGAGTGCAGAAAGAGAGAGAGAATGAGAAATATTGGGGAAGAGAAAGTAATAAAGAGACACACACAGGGAGAAGGAAAAGGGGGAAAAGTGAAATAAGAGCACAAGAAAGATGGCGTGAAAGACAGAAGGGGGCAGGAGGAAAGGAAGACAGAGCAAGAGGGAGAACCAGCAAAGGCAGTGAGTTCACTCTAGTCTGTGAAAGGGAGGGGAAGCTCCCTTACCCACTGAGATCCAGAAGACTCACAGGGGGAAACCATCACCCTTCACTCTGGACATGTTGCTCCCCGCACCTTGCGTTCTTATCCCGTTACCTTCCAGCAAAGTGGGGGAGATGGGGCATGAACCAAACCCACAGGCTCCCCCCAACCTGCCCGTCCCTCTTACCTTTTCCGCCGACTGTGACGTCCCAAAAAATATGGGGATGAAGGCTAACCAGACGATGCAGGTCGTGTACATGGTGAACCCGATGGGTTTGGCTTCATTAAAGGTCTCCGGAACCCCGCGGGTCTTAATGGCGTACACAGTGCATGTCACCATGAGGAGCATGCTGTACCCCAGCAAACAGATGAGGGACAGGTCGGAAATGTCACATTTGAGGATACCCCGGGCAAAGAGGGGGTCCGTAGTCCGCTGGTCCTCAAAGTCAATGATGGAGTGAGAAGGGTCCACGATGAACCAGACGCAGACGCCCATCAGCTGCAGGGAGATGAGGCTGAAGGTGATGACCAGCTGGGAGGCGGGGCTGATGAAGCGCGGGGCGCTGACCGACTTCTTGCCCTGCTCAAAGATGCGGTAGATGCGGTTGGTCTTGGTGAGCAGGGCCGCGTAGCTGATGCTCATGCCCAGCCCCAGGAAGATACGCCGCAGCGAGCAGGTGCCCATGCTGGGCTCGGCGATCATCAGGAAGGTGGTGGCGTAGCAGAGGAAGATGCCTGTCAGCAGCACGTAGCTGAGCTCCCGCCCCGAGGCCTTGACGATGGGCGTGTCGTTGTAGCGTACGAACGTCACCACCACAAAGAGGGTGGCGATGATGCCCATGAGGGCGATGAAAACGGGCACCACGGCCCAGGGCGAGCTCCACTCCAGCTTGACGATGGGGATGGGGACGCAGCTGGTGTGGTTCTCGTCGGGGCGCTCGTTAAAGCGGCACATCTTGCAGTGGAACTCATCCAGCTGGTACTGGTAGCCGTCGCAGCGCTCGCAGTGCCAGCAGCACGGGATGCCCTTCACCAGCTTCTTCCTCTCGCCCGGCTTGCACGGCTGGCTGCAGATGGAGCTGGGGAGCTGGTGGGCCGCCCCGGGCCAGTGCATGCGCTCTATCTGCAGGAAGAGAGAGAAGAGGCCTCGCTGATCTACAAGAAACTCAGTCCTCTGAGTGCACAAGGGGCAGGTAACAGACCCGCTGTGAACACAGTGTGAACAAGAGTTGGGTGAGCTTGCCGCAGGCAGCCTGAATGATGCACCTCACTCCTGACCTGCCATCCCCTTGGCTATTGTATCCATGGACTCTCCAAGAGCTTTGCAGCACCCCCTGATATTCCGGTCCTAAACGCCTTCCCCCCAGCTCTACTGTTGCCCCCCATTGCCTCCCTGCTACTCCGCCCTTGCCCCCTATCCTCACAGCCCCCACACACACTGCAGCTCTGCCAACACACGTGTTTCCTGACCTGCATTCCCTCCTATGCTTCACCCTGTTCTTCCTTCACCTTTTCTTACACACAGACTTGTTTTATGAGGGGGACAAATATGAGCAGGGGCGTGAAGCTGAATCCCCCAAACTCATGTCACTGGTAGCCTAAGGGCTTGTCTACTTGGGGAGTTTAAACCGGATTAAGTCAAGTTAAAATCGAGTTAGTCCACTCTATCATTTTTGTGCCTGCAATGCCACTGCAAACTATTTTGGCAGTCTCCCAACAGTTACCCCACACTGCTTTGTGCACGACCTTTACTGATCTCCCCTGCTCGGGGGTCAAGTTGACCGGATGCCCCCTCCCCGATATGTATGATGTGTGACAGGGTCGGGCCAGATGGCTATAGGAGAGTAATAGAAGGCAGAAAATATTAACCCCAGGCTAAGTAGGTCCCTTTTCCCTGGGTAAGGTAACAGAGAAGGTTCCAGAACAATCAGGAAACTGGAGACAATTAAGACCGGCTGATTAGAACACCTGCAGCCAATCAAGAAGCTGCTAGAATCAATTAAGGCAGGCTAATCAGGGCACCTGGGTTTTAAAAAGGAGCTCACTTCAGTTTGTGGTGTGCATGTGAGGAGCTGGGAGCAAGAGGCATTAGGAGTGGAGAGTGAGAACGCGCACTGTTAGAGGACTGAGGTGTACAAGTATTATCAGACATCAGGAGGAAGGTCCTATGGTGAGGATAAGGAAGGTATTGGGAGGAGGCCATGGGGAAGTAGCCCAGGGAGTTGTAGCCGTCGCACAGCTGTTCCAGGAGGCACTCTAGACAGCTGCAGTCCACAGGGCCCTGGGCTGGAACCCGGAGTAGAGAGCGGGCCCGGGTTCCCCCCAAATCCTCCCAACTCCTGGTCAGACACAGAAGTCGTCGACCTGGACTGTGGGTTGAGAAAAACGGCCAAGCTGAGGGCTGCTGTGAAGCTCCAAGGCGAGCAAATCCGCCAATAAGCGCAAGACCCACCAAGGCAGAGCAAAGGAACTTTGTCACAGATGCTACATTTTGTCCATTAGCTCCTGGATTCAAATAAACTACAACAGCTGTGATAATACCCAAGAAGCCCTATAGCACGCCTCGAACGGCCGCCTGGAGCCATGCCAAGGTGCTGGATCCCATCGGCAGCTGGGGAGAAGCACCTATGCTGGAAGCGCTCATGCCAGCCACTGCAATAAAGACCTTTTTTGTGGACATTGCTGGGCAGATGACTGCGAGGGACTCTGACCGGAATGCCAAACCGCGCTAGGTGAAGAGCAAACCGCTCAGGAGAACATACATTAAAACAAGAGATGACAGGAAAAGGTCCAGCGGGAAACATGTAACTGGTCCATTTTTTGAGGCGCTGGACAGGACTTTGCATAATTACATGACCACCCAACCCAGGCTCCTGCCCACTAACATCACCTGTCCCCTCCAAGGATAACCAGCAAAACTCATCGGAGGAAGAGCTCAAGGAGGCCAATGAAGAGATCTCCCGGGAAAGCCAGGATCTCTTCAGGACCAAGTACACCTTGATGCCAGCCATGTAGAAGACAACCCCAATTTCTGCCTTGCAGCAATCAACCCCAATTCCCAGGCAGCACAGCCCAGACTGGAACGGAGGAGGCTGATCCTACGGAGGGAACCTCAGCATGTATGTTTTTATTATTATAATTTTTTTAAATAACAAAATATTTAAATGTTAATGTATTATAATGATGCCATCCTACCATACTAGCTTCTGTTGCAGGCGCCCCATGGCCACCGTCCTCATAGGCGGTTGTGAGTGAGAAGCCTTTCTGAAGCTGAGGTCCCCGCCTCCCTCCATCGATCCACATTTTCTGTTCGGACCCCTGGCTCCCCTTTCCAAAATGGCGGCTCTGCTGGCCAGGCTATCAGCCTCCATCTCATGCTAAAGCCCCAACTATTGACCGTTTTCAGACCCACATTTTAGGGGGCACTTGCCCATACCTATTTTCTTTTCTCCTTCCCTCAGCTGTCCTGCCCGGCAAACACCTGCCCTCCCACTCACACCCTGTTTGCCAGTTCACAATGGTGGCTGGCAACATGGCACAGCTGCAGCCTCTACCTCATTGCCACCTGTGGCAGATTTGCCTAATGCCTGTGCCTAGGGAGGTTGTGGAATCTCCATCATGGGAGGTTGTGGAATCTCCATCACTGGAGATTTTTAAGAGCAGGTTAGACAAACACCTGTCAGGGATGGTCTAGATAATAGTCCTGCTGTGAGTGCAGGGGACTGGACTAGATGATCTCTCAAGGTCCCTTCCAGTCCTATGATTCTATAATGGAAACACCCCTTTATGTGACAGGAGACTGTGGTTACAGCAAAAGAAGCTTTTACGTGAGGTAGACATGAGCATTGCATGCCTGTAAAGCTACAGAGAGTACAGCTTGCCACTGAGGTAGAAATGCCCTGTAACGTGCATTCTTACAATGAAACAGCTTTGCTGTGGGGATAGAAAAGCTTTTCATGGCTTTTCACGGCTTTTCACAGGCTTACATACAGAAAGATCGGGAACAGTGAATGCTTCAGGCAATCGTTGTGAAAGCCTATCTATTTTCCTCTGCCCTTTCACCCAATCTGCAGGGGCAATAAAGTAAAATCTTCAGCTGGAAAAATTCTCAGTTTTTGTCTAGACATTATGAGGATTGGCGGCACAGCCATTCCCTAAGATAACTCCCGACTCCTGTTCACTCCTGCAGCACTTCCAGGGGACCATCTCGGGACCATCAGGAGCATCTCTCATTGGTTGGCCCTTCATCTTCTTAAATAAAGCCATTCTCTGCCTTTTAGGCCTGGTCTATGCTACAAAACTTAGGTCAGCAGAAGTCGACGTAAGTTGACCTAATAATATATGCGTCTACACTACCAGGTCCCTTCCACCAACCTAAGTCGCCTGTAACATTGACTTCTGTACTCCACATCTGCAAGAGGCATAGCACTTAATTCAATGTTGATGGGTCAACAGAGAGGCAGTGTAGATGCAGCAACAGTCACCTGCCTCAGCAAGTCATCCAGAGTCAGCACAGTCTAAAAGGGAGGTATCCAGCTTGCCCCCATGTTCACCCCACTAATCCCTCTGATGCCACATAAGCACCTCTGAGGCAAAACCTCAGGGAACATAATTCCCGACTGCAACCCCATTAAATCCCCCTTCCCCAGCCACCAAGATACAATGGCAAAACCGAACAGACAAAAATCCCAATGCACACATCATTTACTATCTCCGAGGTTCCCCCAAGCCTGAGAAGAATCGCAGTGGGGTAAAGCCAGAAACAGATACAAACCCCCACACAAACACTGTCACAGCCTCTCTAGAATACAAACAATAACCACTTGTGATTTATTTACTACTCCCACATCCCCGGCACCTGCCCTGGCCAAGCCCCCCAGGACAGGGACCATCAATGGCTGAGTGTCTGGCCAACATCAGGGGAGGGTAAACTCCTGATGAAAAGTTCACGGACATCACTGCAAAGCCCCCAAACTGCTGGACACAGCAGAGAGGTGAGGGCAGTATCTGAGGATGGAGAGGGAAGCAGACAAGGACATCTCCAAGGAGATCACTGCAATGGCGAAGGAGAGTGTGGCAGTTGCCAGGGAAAGCATTGTCATGGCCAAAGACTGTATAGAAAGACCGAGGGAAATGGAGAGGCAACTTCTGGAAGTGATACAAAGCTAAAATGCCCAGTTGCCGCATGGATTACTATTTGGGCAGCAGGCAGTAAAGTCCTGCAAGCCGGCACCCCAGTCACATTATGCAGCCCCTGGGCAATACAGGCCACTGGCAACAACAAGAACTCATCCCACCATGACACCAAACTGTGCTCCCAGAGAGGCCGTTCCCTTCACAGACCGTAGCCCAGGGCACTCAGAACCATGGCAACTGGGACCCCAGCTCTTCTGAGCCCTCTATCGCCCCTGGTAACGTCAAGCCTTGGCACTCCACTCCAGAAAGCCCGTGAACCAGAAGAAGCCGAGCCAAGGGATAAACTCATCTGTGGCTTTAAGACCCCATGCCACCCCTTGCATTGTGCCCCGTTCTTGCTGCTCTGTTTTGTGGCTGGTTTAATGAAATGGTTCCTTGTCGCTACAGAATAGACTGCTTTTTAATGTGTCATTTAATAATTAAAAGCCATTGGTTTATTATCATTTCAGTTCAAGGTTCATTTCTCTTTGTTACATATAGATTGTTTAATCATGAAAACATTTTTCATAAGGTGCTGACTGTTTCTTTTCCACAGAAAGTCCTTCAGTTTGCACTAATTCATAAGGTTTTACACCACCAGGCAGGCAAAGACACAAGATACAATAGGGACTGCCACAGCGTTACATTCCCACCACTCATAAACCCTGAACTGCTCAAAAAACTTCCAACTCTCCCTTCCCCCAGGTTAACAGCTAGATGTACAGCTGCATGACTTCGGGCCTGAGACGTAGAAGAGGAGCAACCTGACAACATTGCCCCGGCTGCTTGTATTTTGTATTGTACACCTACTGGCTACTGCAGAATACAATGTGTTGCTATACACTTTGAAATGTTTGTTTTTAATGGTGTTTCCAAACTAGTCCACCAACAGCACCATCTTCCTTTCGAACAGCCAAACGCACACTCTGCTGCCATTCCCTGAGACTGGAGTGAAACAGCTCTTTCCTTCTGTCCAAGCAGCCTGCAAACGGCTTCATTAGCCAGGGAAGCAGAGGATGAACTGGAGGAAATGTCCACGCCGTTAATGTCTGTCGTGTTCCTGGGGGCAACCAGCCCTTTCTCCAATAAGATCAATTAAGCGGCGTTCCAAAATCTCCTCGCGTTGTGATCCCTTGCAGAACACCCTGCGTTTATGTCCACAAATCTACCACAGTGGGGCAACCAGCCTGCAGAGCACCACGGAGATATACCCCTTTGCGTTTATGAATTCTGATCCCTGAGTGGCGGTAGAGCAAATAATAGGCATCTGGATCCCATCAGTTGCCCCAATACAGTTTGGGAACCTACGTGCACAGAGCCATCAGCAAACTCCTGACCATTACCAAGCTTCAGAACCCAGTGCTACAACCTCTCTTCCACGGCTTCCCACACCTGCATGACCATAACCCCAATGGTCAATCTCCCTGCACCCTACTAGTGCGCTATGGACCGGTTGCATTTGGGGGTGGCCAGCTTCCAGATGCCAGTGGTGACCCACTTCTCCATGGGTACGGGGCACCGCATGTTGGCATGCTGCTACTGCAGCTCCCGGGGTTAGTTCAGCACATATCTCAAAAAAGAAGTTTGCCTTCTCCATCCTGAAATTCTCTCGCAACTTCCTGTTAGCTCAGAACAAACTTCCCCCACCAATCCCACGCCCAAAAGCGTCGCTGCATGCTGTGAGGCTGCTCCAGGAATCAGTCCAGTACTATCGCTTGCTTGGTGTCTTCTTCGGTTTCTTCATTCTTGCCCCGGTTCCACCAGCGCTGAAAACCGTCCTGCTGCAGGAGGGGCTGCTACTGCGATATCAACTGGTCGCTGGTTCAGTGGGCCAAGTCCAAAGCCAAATTCATCCAGCTTTGAGTGCTGAAATACCCCTCAAGTGGCCGCTGCATATTCAAGGTTGCCAGCATAGTGGCATGGAGAATTGTTGGGCCCACGCTGTCTGGCAGGACTACAAAAATGGCGCTAACCCCCCCAGAAAGAAAGTACGGGGTGGAGACAGATGAATCAAGGGAGTTTTTTTAAATGTGAATTCATCTGGCTGCTACGCTGCATCCCACTATTCACAGTGAGAAAAATCCCAGAATGCACACTGCTCAGCAGTGGAAGCAAAGCACCATAGGACAGCCTCCGAGAAAGCCACGCCCTGAGTCTGCAGCAAACCGCCTCCATAGGTACACAATGACATGCACCGATAGAGGGCACATTGTGCCGTGTGTACGCTGCTTGCATATTGCGCGTGAACTGACGTGCATCAAAAAGCTGCAGATGAAATCCCCCAAGTAGACAAGCCGTAAGATAGATAAGACTCCGGGTCCCCAGAATGGCAATGCTAGTGCATTCATCTCCTAGCATGCCCCTCTCTGCTCACCATTACAGAAAACTGTGCAAGAGGGTGGAGCTCTGAGGTCCAAATGATCTCAGCCGTCCCAGAGGGCTAATGGGCTCACATGGGCATAACCACTGGAAAATGCAGGCTCTAGGCAGTCAATTGTTCCCGCAAGATGGGTCAAGCATCTTCTATTCTGAGTGGGCAGCTTGAGATGGTCAGAACCCAATACTTCCTCCCCTTACAGTCAGTAGAAGGACTGACTACCTCACAGGCGTAGTTTGACTTCTGTATTTGGAGGGGCAGCTGCAGTCAGACCAATGGGGCTGCATGCGGGGGGGCAGGGGCAAATTCCATGCCTGCTGGAGGCTTGCAGTTTGGGGACAATGCCCACCTGCCCCCCTCCCCAAACTACACCCATGGACTATCCATGTTACCCACTTAGCTTAAGCCTATACTTCAAGCTGGGTGTGTGATCCGCAGCTCAAGGAGACATACCCGCGCTAGCTCTGATTGAGACAACATGCTAAAAATAAAGGGTAACTGCAGCAGCAGAAGCAGCGGGAGGTTCTAGCCTCCCCAAGTACGATCCCATCTGCAACTATAGGGATGTACTCAGTGCAGCTAGCCCCTCCTGCTGTGGCTACAGTCTATTTTTAGCATGCTAGCTCCATCAGAGCTCGCGCAGGTCTGTCTCCTTGAGCTGGGAATCACACCCCAGACTGAAGTATAGGCAATGCCCTATGACACCTCTTGGGGCACGGATAAGAAGAAAGAGCCCTGCAGTTCAGGAGACAAGACTACACACCAGAGCAAAATAGCCCCTCAGCAGAGCCGGTCAGGAATTTTTTTGACAAAACATTTTCCCATCAGAAAATACTGATTCGTCAAGGCTGAAACTCTTCATGGGGAAGAGTCAGTTTCAACGAATTTCCTGTTTCGAAAAGAGTTGGGGGAAAAAGTTGATGTGAAATTGTTGAAATGTCTGTTTAAGACAATCTTGAAACCAAAAAGAGTTCTATTTTTCCATTTGAAATGACGTCTCCTTTGAAATTTTAAGTTAATTTAAAGAAAAAATAAAAAGGCAAAATTGAATCAGAATGTTTCCACTGACCCAATCCAATCTTTTTTTGAATTTTCACTTCACGAAAATTTTCAGGATTTTGACTTTTTGTCCAAATGTGCAAATGAGATTTTTCTGAAATTTCAGTAACTTTCTCAAGGGACAGGAAAACGTTCTCCTGCCCAGATCTCCCCATAATATTGCCAGAGCTACTAGCATTTAAAAAACAGGGGGAAAGATTAAATTGTTGCCTGAAAACCTATTCTTGGCTTCGATGATACAATAATGGCTTCTTTGAATATACCGACATCCACCCCATGATGCCAAAGTACACAAATAACTTTACAGACCATACAGGGATCATTTCAGCAGGCACTGAATTGCAGCCACCTCTGGGGTGAAAGGCGGCAAAGGCTACAGGCTGAGCTGCTTTCATTAGTCCCCATTCAAAGACCCAGCACAGCCCAAGCTGTGAGCCACAGAGGGGAATAATGAGCCCCAAGGCCCAGAACAAGACAAGGGAAAAAATAAATTGTTTGGCCTATGTTACAAAATTGTGGCAACTTCTTCTTTGAAAAGCTCTAGCACCCCCCTGCTTTTGAGGAGGGACTTGCAATTAGACAGGGGAATGGTCTGTGTGTGTCAGCGATGTGCCTTTTGCCATCCATGTGAAAATCAGCCTGATTTGGGCCAAATTATAAACACTTGGGGGAAAAAATAAGAATGGAAAAAGGAGCACGAGACCATGTAAGGAAACACAGTATCACGATGCAGACACATAAGGGGGGTTGAAATAATGTAGAACAAGCAACTTCAACCCTGGCATTCCCTACCTTTCGACTGCTTGATTTTGCAAACTTAATAATGTTCTTTTACGTAGAGTTTGTTTGTTCGTTGCGGGATCTAATATACCTTAATGGTGTATCAAGCACAGGATGGGAACCATTCGGCACAATTAGTGGAATTGGTTGGTGTGTCTAGTTTCGGAATTCCCAGTCCCTTTAAGCCAGCTGCCATGTCACCTCTCTTCGACTAGTACAAAACAATGCTCCCTAATGGAAGCTCTAGGGAAGCAGGGATAAAGTTGTTGCCCAGTCTCTTTGCTGGGACCATCTCCACTGACTCCACAGCCAAATACAAAACCAGTCCAAGGTCTTACTTTTAAATGCAGGTGATCGGTCCAGTGCCCAATGACTTTGTACTCAGCAGTGGAGTTTTTGATCTGGTATTGGTAGATGTCATAACGGCCAGGTGCATCTCCGTTCTCATTAAACGTCACCGGAGTCCCAGCAATGCCTACAAGACAGGAAAGTTTTAACGTCAGAGCGTAAAACAACATCTGCTCCAATGCTGTGCAGTGTGGCTGATCCATCTGGCGCAGTGTCCGATTCAACTCCTGCTAAAGTCAATGGGATCTTTGCTATTAACTTCAGCAGAGTCCTTAGATCAGAGGTGCTCAAACTATGGTCTGCGGCCCACTGCTCCGTTCAGGTGGTCCGCGGATAGTTCCCTCTAAGGTGCGTGCCTGGGCAGTCACGCCCGAGAGAATGAAGGGCTAACCATCTAATTAGTGGAGCCGCACAGGCGTGGCTCTGCTAATTAGGTGCCTGGACTCTGGAGAAGACGCACCATGTACGGTGAGTTGGTGGTCTTCAGGGGGAATAGAGGGTAGGTGGGAGGGGGCAGTGAGGTGAGAAGAGGGGGTGGGGGAAATTTGGGATGTACAGGGCTGTGGTGGCCAGAGAAAGAGGCGACTTTCTTCAGCTCCAAGGCTGTGGCTGTCGGGGAGAGACCCCCTCCTTCCCAGCCCCAGCTTGGGGCTGCCGCAGTGAGGGAGAAAGGGCACATCCATCGCATTAGAAAGGTAAGACTACGGATATTAAAATATGAGTTGTGTGCTTTTATTTGTAGAACAAAAAAACTTTAATTATTATTTAGGTTTTTTTTTTATATAGTGCTTTTATCCAAAGCACTTTACAATAGTTAGTTAACGGTACAAACAACATTTGGAAAGATCAGTAAGTGGTCCGCCGAGACCCTCCGCAATTTTCAAGTGGTCCGTGGAAAAACAAAGTTTGAGAACCACTGCCTTAGATTATTTTCTTCTTCCATGGTCTCTTCCCAGTGTCATGCATTCTGGTGACATTTGATAAATACAATTTAAAAAATAAACCAGCCTTGCAAACCTGCCAGGACAATTTACCAGCCTGTAGAGACAGAGGACAAACAGATACTTAGCTATTTGGTTACCATTAATTCAGTAGTCAGACAATAATACATTTGCCTTCTAAACAAAGAGCACACCTGTCCCAATTTTTATTATTAACATTTGGCTAGAAATGCCTGGTCTGATAAATATGTGTAAACAGAAGTTTCACTCCATTTAATAAAATCACAGAAACAACACATCCTGGGAAGTATAAAGGAGCTCCCTCTTCAAATTGCCAACATCCTTTTAAACAGAGAGATTTGATGATTATATTACTGCAGAAGGTTTCCTTAAACAAAAGCTCACTGTTGTACTGTTGAGCGTAGAATTGTAGAAATGCAGGGCTGGAAGGGACCTCGAGAAGTCATCAAGTCCAGCCCCCTGCACTGCGGCTGGAACAAGTAAACCTAGAGCCTCCCTGACAGGGGTTTATCCAACCTGTTTTTAAAAGCCTCCAGTGACGGGGATTCCACCACCTCCCTTGGAAGCCTGTTCTAGAGCTTAACTACCCTGATAGTAAGTTTTTTCCTAATATCTAACCTAAGCCTCCCTTGCTGCAGAATAAGCCCATTACTGCTTGTCCTGGAGAACAATTGATCACCATCCTCTTTGTAACAGTCATTAGCATATTTGAAGACTTACCAGGTCCCCCCCGCCTCCCTCTTCTTTTTTCAAAACTAACCACGCCCAGTTGTTTTTTTTAAACCTTTCCTCACAGGTCAGGTTTTCTAAATCTTGTAGCATTTTTGTTGTTCTCCTCTGGACTCACTCCCATTTCTCCACATCTCTCCTAAAGCGCGGTACCTGGAGCTGAACACAGCACTCCAGCAGTGGCCTCATCCATGCCAAGGAAAGAGGAACAGTGACCTCCCATGTCTTACTTCCGACACCGATCGTTTCATCTCTGATACTTACCCGCAAGGATTTGTAAACTTGTTTAAATGTCCAAAATAAACAAACAGATTAAAAACAAATCCACTTGCACATGCAGATGAAGATCATGAAAAAACAAAAAGGCATGGAGTCAGATCCTTAGCTGGTATATGTCAGGTTTCAGAGTAGCAGCCGTGTTAGTCTGTATTCGCAAAAAGAAAAGGAGGACTTGGGGCACCTTAGAGACTAACCAATTTATTTGTGCATAAGCTTTCGTGAGCTACATCCGATGAAGTGAGCTGTAGCTCACGAAAGCTTATGCTCAAATAAATTGGTTAGTCTCTAGGGTGCCACAAGTCCTCCTTTTCTTTTTGGTATATGTCAGTGCAGCTCCTTTCAGCAACTGGCCTCCTCACCTGTCAACAACTACTTAATTGCCCTTGGCCAGAGGGTGATTAGAATTTGGCAAGGCTGAAATTAATTAATAAATATCACTTCATCAGTGCCTAGATACTGCAGGGAGGGGGGTTGTTAGAAATTCCTTGGGCCTGATATGGAAGGCTGTTGGCCCGGCAATGGCAGAATCATTTGGACAGGCTCTGGGGCTGGTATCCCCCAGCCTTGCACCTTGTGCAATCACTCTTAGGCGCTAACTCAGCAAGGCATTTAAACAACATGCGTAAGTCCATCCCTCTTCAGCAAAACATGGCACGTCACTATTAGGAAGTGCTGAAGACTCATGGCCAGTGGGACGGGCGCATGAGCGTAGGGGCTTTGCCCAGTCAAGACGGCCTGTTGATTTGCAGCCTTAGGCCCCCATAGAACACCTCCAGATCAGAATTCTCCACTCACGCCGGTGGTAGCATTTCACACCCCCTTTGCACAAGTGCAAATGGTTCTAAAAGGTGCCAAGCAGGGAGGCAAGCTGAGACGTTATGACAGAGAGAGGGGAGGGGGAAGACGGGGGCACATTATTGAGAGAGAGAAGAGAGAAATGAGACTACAAAGTTATGTTGGCTTAATGACATCGCTCGGGGCTGTGAAAAACGTCATGCCCTGTGCAATCTAACTAAGCCAACCTATGGTCCAGTGTAGACACCGCTAGGTCAACAGAAGAATTCTTCTTTCCACCTACCTACTGCCTCCTGGAGAGGTGGATTTACTACAACGATGGAAAAATCCTTCCATCGCTGCAAATAGTGTCTACGTTCCAGTGCTGCAGCTGTCCTGCTGTAGCATTTCTGGTGTAGACACATCCAGAGAGAGGAGGACTAGAGTAGATGCCAGAAGAACAAATTCACTCCCATGTGGAAATCAGCCGGCTTTTCCTCACCTGTGTCATTTATCCGATCAAATCGCATTATCCGTGTAAAGCAGATTGCAAAGGGCACTCTGCAAGGCTCCCTCCCCACCCGCGAGCAGCCTGCACGGTCTCACACCATCTCCGGATGTCTGGGAGTCTCTTTCCTAAAGCACTGAATAATAAATCCATACACAGTGTCAGTGTATTGTGATGCTATATCATTCATTCAGCAGGAGTGGTGATCTCCTCTCAACATTCAGCTACGGAGCTTGCCGAGGAAAAAACAACAACACGGCATCTCTCGCATTTAGATACAGACTGGGCGAAAAGGGACTTCATGAAATGGAGGGGCTGGAAGCAGTGGCTACAAGCAGGCTTAGCCCAGACAGATGCTGTGCATAATTCTTCTGCGCAGTTCTGCTGGTACACCTCAATCTTGACCCACAGCCTCCCTCGCTATTCCAGCCACAGGCTTCCTGCTGCAAGCACTTAATCCTGACCTGCCGTTCTCCTGCTACTCCAGTCCTGGACCTCACACAGTTCTGCCAACTATATTTGAAGAGACAGAGACAGTGCGGGCAACCGACCGACCCATCCCTACCCCTGCTCCCTGAACACCCCATGCTATCTGATTCCTGAGGCTGGGGCTCTGCTCAACACAGGCTGCCAGGCAGGCACCACAGGCGACAAGGAGCAGAGATTAGTCCTTAGGCTCCTGTAACTCGAGGCAGCCTTTGAATCCAGGCACCTGGGGCTGCACTAACCCACTGCACTACTGAGCCCTTCAGATAAAGAAGCAGGGTTTGATTCAGACTTGGGCTGAACATGGGGATCTCCATTAGGGTCAGTGGCCCACAGAGCGAGGCAGAGGAGGGCGGAAGAAATATGATGGCTTGCCTTACTGACTGTCATGTTGGCAGCCCACTCTGCACTGGGCATGCCGGCAGGGCGGACACCCTCCGTTTGCAAATGGCAGCTCAGCTGCCAGTCCCTCCCCTCCCCATAGCTCATTACGCTTGAAGTACAGACAGAGTGATTGGCTTTGACATTTCCTGCCACTCATGTGCAGCGGGGATTGCCCGAGCTTGGCACTCAGGGACGTAGTCCGGGAGGGAGAGTGGGTGGGAGCCAGGACGCAATACAAACAGTTCAAAACAGTAGCGGCCAATGCTCAACCTGGGATCCACACCAGCTGCTTGCGGCACAGAAACATTCCCCGCAGCACACAGGGTATGGCTGCTGGAAGTGGGAGTTTTGCTGCCTGTGGCTTTGCCACATTTAAAAAAAAAATTTGCTTTAAAGTAAAATCAAATGAACTGTGCAAATAAATACGAACACAAGAAGAGAACAGAAAATCAGGCAAGAGGGGAAGAAGGAAAAATAAATAAGGAAGACAGATTGCAGAGGAGATTGCAGGGGAGAGATAAATAGAAGTAATAAGAAGGAAGGGACAGAAAATGTTTATTAAAGAGATATAGTACAGGGAAGGGATGAGTTTCCAGAGGAGATCTGAAGGAAGACAAAGCTGTAGCAGAATGAATCAGACGAGGAGCTCATTTCAACAAAGGGGGAGAGGAAAGAGAGAGAAGGAATGGAAGTAGAACAAGGAACAGAAGCTAACAAAGGAAGGGTGGGGCTGTGTTAAGGCTTGAAGCTAGCACTGTAAAGGATCCAGGTTCGATTCCTGCTGCTGACTCCCTGTGTGACCTTGGAAAAAAAATCACCAGAGTTTTCAGGAAGGGTCAGCTCCTATTTCGCTCCTTGGATAAGTGGCCAGTGATGGAATTATTGAAAGCTGCTATGTGACTCACGAGCACAAATTTCATTGACTTCCTGGGTGCTCCTATGTCACTCTGATGTTCTTTAAAATTCCTAGCTTTAATTTTCAGAAGCACTCAGCAGTTTGGGTGCTGAGCTCTTTTGAAAATCTGCTTCTTAATCACTCTGTGCCTCAGCTCCTTCTCTATAACATGGGACCAATAATAAAACCATGGAGCCTATTTAGATTGTAGGCTCCCTAGGGCAGGGACTGTCTCTCACTAGGTGTATGTGTATCTCAGCTGGGGCTTCTAGTTCCTGCCATAATACACATAATAAATAGAAAGTCCAGGCCGGGAGCAGAAGAGACCTGGTTCCACTTTCATTCACAGCCCTGTAGATCTAGAGTAACTCCAGTAACTTTAGCAGAGTCATTCTCCAGTCACTCAGAGCATAAATTGGTCCCTGTTCCTCTCTTACCGCCCCCACTTTCCCCACCATGTTGAAGGCCAGACAGCCTGACCCTCTGCGGACAGACAGACCTGAGAAGTTGACGTTGCGGATGTACTTGAGCAGCTCCACGCCGTCCACCGGGTCCATTCTGGGGCAAAGGCCGACCTTGCCGGGACACAGACTCTTGTGCATGTTGTGCAGGGCATGACCCATGGCGTACACGGCGTCAATGACGAACTGCACCTTCCCCTCCTGCTCATATGAGGAGTCTTGGCCGATCCGCTCGCGGTCTGCAAACACACAACGCGGGGCCATAGCAGCACCAGCTCACTCGTCGCTCCCCTCAACCAATCCCACCGCAGCCACCACACTTCCCAAGGTTCCTCCCACTGGGATTGGCGGAGCTGGGAGCTGCCAATGGCCTCCCCCATTTCCTAGAGTCGTTACTGCAAGGAAAGACTGAACTCAGGTCCGAGGGAGTTTCCCCAGAGCCAGCATATGTTCTCTAGTCCCTATGGTACCAAGTATCTGGGATGGGGATGGTACTACTGTACCTGGGAGCTCACTACAAACATTTATTGCTGCTAGAAGAAGCTGGCCCTTCTGCCTTACACCATTCCCGATACAGCCATGCTTGCGGGGTCTAGTAATGTAGAAAGGCTCTGATTTTAAGGGTGGCTCCCATTAAGTTCAGTCAGAGGCGCAGGTGCTCAGATGTTCTGAAAACCAGGCCAAATAATAAAGGGGCAGGAAGGACGGCCTTGCGGTTCAAAGCAGTGGACCCATGCAATCTACTCCCAGCTCTGCCTCGGACCTGCTGTGACACCTTAGACCAGTCACCAGGGGCCTGCTTTTTTCCAAGCAAATGATGTCTTGCAAATCCCATGACAGCGACTATAGCTGGAGCTGTGGGTTCCCCACATCTCTGAGAATCTGCCCCTTTAATCTTTCTCTGCGCCCCAATTCCACAACTGCAAAACAGTCATTTCTTTGTCTGCCTTGTTTATTTCGATCATAAGCTCAAAGGAGCCTCATCATACCAGGCATATGTAGAGCACCGAGCACAACTGTTACAGATAATAACAGATAAGTCCTATCTAAATTCCTAGCTACAACTATTACTCTGATTCGAATACTCCCAAATACTGAGGTATATGTAATTCTGATCTGAAGTTTATACTATGAGCACATCTCCAACACTAACATATATTTCTCTGGCTGTAGCTGTGAGCTGCTAGACATCTATTGTGCAGAAATTCCCCTAGGATGCATAGCAGTGTCATTGAATCACTTATAGTTGTTTCGCACTTCCATCTTAAACACTGATCTCTACTCTAAACCCCATAAAATTCTTCAGCTAGTTAGAACTCATCTTTCCCAGCCAGGAAGTTTATGGTACATAAACTTTACATGGTAAACAGCGTCAGGCTGAAAACATAGTCCAAGCAAGCCGCAAACTCTTCATGCAACTTGAATGAGGCTGCAGTGGACAGTTCTGAAGCTGCGGAGAACTGTAGCCAGTGTCCAAAGCCCGAAGTCAGGTACCCATGGCTGGAGTGGAAAGATGTCATCTCACTGCACTGCAAGCATTGCCTCAGGGAGATACCTCCTCCAGCTCTGCCAAACTTCCCAGTACTGCAATAAACATTTTCAGGAAGTCCCACCTTCTGGAGGCAGGACTGCCAGGAGCATTAGAATAACCTGGCAGAGCCTCTGCAAGCCATTAAAAGTGCAGAGCTGGTCACAGTTCCTTCCTCGTCAGTGTGATCACCATTATACGGGAGCCCTGAAATACTTAACTGGGAGGCAGGTAATGTGTTGCCCAGAGCTTATTTGGTACCACTAGACACGGCTGGAAAATTTCAAGTTTTCAATGAAAAAAAATCAAAACCTGAAATGCTTCAGTTCAAAACCAAAATATTTCAGCTCTGAAATGCCACCATGGTGCCTGATGGGAGTTGTAGTTCATGTGCCTCTATAGGCCGGGCTCCCGGGTTGGACTACATCTCCCATGATGCATACTGGCTCACCCTCCCCCCCATGAATGGAGGTGCTGCCCCAGTGCATCTTGGGAGATGAAGTCCAATGGGAGAACATGGCTCATGAGGCAACTGAACGACAACTTCCAGGAGGTACCGCGGTGGCGTTTCAGAATCAAATTAGTTTCATTTTCAGCCAAAACCGCTTCCCGCTTTCAGATGTTCTGCTTTTAGACCAAAAACGGAAATATCCCAGAGGAGGCAGATGCAGTTCATGTAAAATTCCATTTTGTTGAAATCCCCATTTTCTGTCAAAAAGCAGCTTAGATAGAACATTTCTGGCCAGCCCCGAGCAGAAGGCTGGATCCCTGATTGCCCATGGAGAGTCACAGCACTCTCACTTCACGATGGGAAGATGCTCCCTGTACGCCTCTCCCTGGGGAGCTCAGGACTGTGGCTAGCTGCTAAATTCAGACCCCGTCCTGAGCTTCTCCTCCACTCCACCCCAGGCCTGGCCTATGGAGTGTTTTATTTCCACCACACTAGAGCTGTCTGCAGTTGGCACTGTGCCACACGGCACATATTCCCTGGCATCCCCGAGTTCACATACCCCAGTCACAGCTTGAGCTACAGCTTATGCAAATATCATCCATCCTCCAGCATGCTGTGCTCATCAATCTCACCATCAGCTGTGACAGTATCGGTCTCTCGGGAGCTATCCGCAGTGTGAAAGGACGGTCTGCGCAACATCCATCCCTAGCCACGCATCCTCTACCATGCTCTCCCCATCTCCCTCCCCATCCCCATCCCCCTTGAACTCTCCTCCCCTCCTGCTCTCCCAGGCGCTGACCCACAGATTGATTCCCCACCTCCCTAGCCAGCCCTCGATGGTGGAATCGTTCAAGTGTGCGGTAATTACCAGCGACAGCTGCCTGCCTCTCCCTGTCATAACTGCTCCTAATGGGACTTGAAACATGTTAATCATTTAGCGAAAGACACCGATTAATGTAACATGCTGTTAATTAGAGCTAAGAAAGAGTCCCCCGGGGTGTGGCGCTGTGGCAGTGGGTGTCCGAGAGGGGTTTTCCTGCTACTCCGGCATCACAACCAATAACAGAACCCTCCAGATGCCCAGCTGAGTGACACCTAGCACAGGGGGCTAACGTCATGGGAGCTCGGCAAAGCAGATGGGGGCTTTAACACAGGGCAAGGAGTGGGCTTTGTGAAGTGAGGGCCTGTGGGGAACCATCTGAGGGGGCATTCAGCTACCAGGCATGGTAGGAATGGTACTAGGGAGACACTGGGTGGGGACAGCGTGGGGGTGAATTTTGGGGGTGTGGTGCACTGGATTGTACATGTCAGCAGTTCCTTCCAGGATGGCCGATTCCAGGCCGGGCCTTAGGGAGACCCTGTGTGATAACTCCAGGCTGGGAGCTAGAGAGCCAGAGAGAACCACAGGGTCTGTCCGAGTCCAGCTGCCCGAGTCAAGAATCCCCTTTATATTCACTACGTCTCTTCTCTACCACTGGGGGGGCGCGAGGAATTAGGCTACATGTGGCAGTCCCTGCACAAGGGAAAAATGTCCCCAGGCCACTCAATACCCAACCCAGCGAGGTACATGCCTCAGGAGATTGCAGCGGTAGATTAAGATTTGCAGCCAAAGGTTCAGAAGCCTCCAGTGCCTGAGATGTGCTTCCGTCACCCTTCAAGCCATGGTGTAGCTGTGGGTGATGAAGGGTCTCTGCTCCTCCCCATTTCTGAGCAGCGCCGGCAGCAAGTTCCCAGCTCCCCACAGCACCCAGCCAAAGGGGCAGTGTGCTGTGGTGAGGAAGAAGCTGCAAAGCACTATGAGGAATCCCTCCTGCACTGCCTACTGGATTTCCCACTCCACTCTGTCTTCCCTACCCCACCCCGTTGTGCGAGGAACCAGGCCAAAAGCCCCCAAGATGTGCCAGGCGGGAGCCCCAGTGATTCTAGCCACAGCTAAGCCATGGGGCAATGCCAGATTTGATTTCCCCATAGGCAGGCCTGGAAGGGAGTCCCCTAGAGAGGCAATGGCTAAAAGCCTCCAGGTTTGGTTACACAACCCCAAGCCTAGAGACACTGCATGAGAAGTCATGACCCTTTCGGGTAGGAGTGGGCCTGAGCAGAGAAGCAACTCTCCGGGTCTGATCGGGCGGGGGAATCTATGGTTACAGGTCAGGCCTATATCTCTTTTCAAGCAGGGCTGGTTTGGAATCAAGTTTCCGCAGCATTCACATGGCTCGTACAGAGCCCCTGGGGGAAAACGCACCTAAAATTGGAAGTTATCGGCTCTTCTGAACTTGCAACGCAAAGAAAATTCAGGGCAGGCCCCAGAGGGATGGGAACTGAAGTGAAACGTCCCCTCTGCCCTCGCAAAGCAAAACGGACGAGGCACTGGGTTCAAAGCCAGTCCATCCAGCTGGTTCTGTGAGCCGCCACCTCACTGCCAGGCTTCGCGCGCATCAAAGCCCTGGGAGGAAGGGAACCTGAAGAGCGTAAGCGGCACAAAGGCTCCTGCAGGTGGTTATGTCCCCACAGGCAGCGAGCCCCGGAAGAGCCGAGGAGAAAAGGAACACTGAGAAAGGAACCCTGCTTGTTTAGTCTGCAGAAGAAAAGAGTGGTTGGGGGTGGGATTTGATAGCAGCCTTCAACTACCCAAAGAGGATGGAGCTCAGCTGTTCTCAGTAGTGGCAGAGGACAGGACAAGGAGTAATGGTCTCAAGTTGCAGTGGGGGAGCTCTAGGTTGGGTATTAGGAAACACTATTTCACTAGGAGGGTGGTGAAGCAATGGGTTACCTAGGGAGGTGGTGGAATCTCCATCCTTAAAAACCTCTACAGGCCCGGCTTGACAAAGCTCTGGCTGGGATGATTTAGTTGGGGTTGGCCCTGCGTTGAGCAGGGGGTGGGACTAGATGGCCTCCTGAGGTCCCTTCCAACCCTAATCTTCCATGAAACATGAGCCTCCCTGTGCAGAGTTGGAAGCTGGTGCAGCATATGATTAAAAGGCACCTGTCCCATGCCGAGACCGGCTGGCCCTGGTCCTCACCATGGTTCAGGCCATGATGCTCTCGCCTCACGTCTGTTCTCCCTGCCTCCCTCTTGGCACGTCTGAGGCGAGTGGAGACAGCACAGCGTGTCTGAGGGCCAAGCCACACCTGAGCTGCAGCCAGGGACATAAGGGGATGACTGGGTTTGGTCGTCTGAGGAGGTTGAGACAAAGGTAGCAGAGAGAGAGATAAGGGAGTGCGGCAGTGAGATTCTGTCTTACAACTGGGAGCAGTGCTGA